GAAATCAGGCAAGAAAAAAAACTATTAGTATAAAACTTACAGTCGCACCTAACTATTTCAACAGTAAAATGACGTGATTGAGTCGCCATCTGGTTCATTAGAACAATTGACATGAAAATATTTATAGTAAAGGCAGAGTAACTAAAGTCAAGATGGCGGGTCAGAACTAATAAGAACAGATTCCATTATTTGGATTTTTTCAAGAACCCCGAGATTATAGCTGGAACACAAGACCAGATATGGTGGCAATAATAATTCTAATATCATTATATGCTGACTTACATTTATAAAAGTGAATGAATTAGTCATTTATCATCTCTCAGTTGCGTCTCTGTCCTTGGACAGGGTGCGCTCAGGGGCTTCTCTGTCAAAGGACAGAGGAGCAACTGAGGAAAATTATACTGAAGAGGTGCCCAGCCCTGGGGAACAGTTGCCCGAGGCCGCGCCCTCCCATTGCACAAGAGGGAGGGATCGGTGCTCGCACTGAGGCCAAGCGAAACCGACAGTTGCCCGGGGTTGAATGGAATTTTGTCCCTACCGGGTATGCAGCATTCGGGTCCCCACATTAAACCGACCTTGTGTCACATCTTGTTCTAGTGGGGGAACGAGTAAATACCAGTGAATGAATTAGTCGATTTCCAGTGTACATATAATGTAAAACTGGACCCATATTTCTTGTGACTCCTCATTCAATTTACAATCTGTTAATCTATATTTTTATTTTTTTTAATCATTTCATCCCAAACAAGGCGGTAATGCCACTAGGATGCTGATTAATGTTGTATTTAAATTTTTAAGATTGTAAGTATCAGGGAAGACAGTTTAAATAAACTTTGCTGTTTGTTAAGGTTTTATTATTCAAAGAGCAAATATAGAGGATAATTTTTATTTTTTAATCATTTCACCCTAAGCAAGGCCACTAATAATGTCACTAGGATGCAAGGGGTTACTGGGAGTGATAGAGAACAAGCAATGATGAGAAAGAACAGGATTCAAGAAGACAGACGATGGCGACTGACATTGCATTTAAAGTTTTGATGATTGCAGGTAGCAGAGAAACAAGAAATCAGAAGATAATTCCTCAGGCTATTTCAATAGTAAAACGACGTGACCGAGTTACCATTCTAGTTCATTGGAACAATTGCCATGAAAATATTTATAGAAAAGGCAGAGCAAACCCAAGTTACAATGGTAGGAAAGTAACTGAAGTCAAGACGGCGGGTCAGAACTGATAAGAACAGATACCATTCTTTGGATTTTTTTCAAGAATCAGGAGATATATAGCTGGAACACAAGACCAGATATGGCAGCAATATTAAATACATTGATAAATGGTAGATTTATAAATGAACCGTCTTTGAAAACAGCTAATATTGGTAGATTTATAAATGTGCAAGAGAGATAGATTCTAGCAAGCTGACATGACACAGTGAATCAGCTTTAGTAGCAGTAGACTTAGCAATTGATTCAATAAAATCATTTCATATCAATGGAAAATGTGAGGCCAAGACGCAATGAATTATTCTTCTGGGGGTTAGCATCAGCCATGCTGGTGGAAGACAAAAATGGCTCTCTACGATGACTAAAAGATAGCAGTTTTCGTTTTGGAGGCATTCAAATTTACAAGGCATTTCTTGCCACACTTAACAACTGATTGGTAGTCATTTTCAAGATCACTTACCAAATTTACTTTATCAGGCTTAGTTGTCAGGTTAGTCTGGTTGACTATGAATAGAGAGTTCAAGTCGCAGTGTGCGCCATACAAAATTCGACATTAAATAACCCAATGGTTGACATGTCATAAAATCAACCAACCTAGTCGAATCCGCTCCCCTCCCAGACACAAGCCAAATATGAGGAGAGATAGAGACGTTTAATCTTGGAACTCTATACAAATCATTTGTTTGCTGCTGAAACCACGACAGCAACTAATTTAGGGTTGCAACCTTGCATTCTTTAAGGCGTCTACAAGAATAATCAATTATAAAAATTCATATCCAACATTAAAATTCTGCTTAGTGTACTTCTGCTCCAGCAGAAGTAACAATTTCAAATTTGTCATTCACTAGGTGTGCTGTAGTCATTGGACTGTTTTATGACCATAGATAAGGTCTTGAGTTGGTCCTTCAAAAATTTTGGCTATTAATTCTTATTTTTTATGCTACAATTGCCATTTTTCTATTCATAGCTACATAATTTTTTATTAAACACAAATAGAAGAAAAGTTTTTTTTTTTTATTTAATACATGTTGACCAAATTTTGTACATAAGGAGATGAAATGCAAAAATCATTTTGCAAATCATTTTGTTTAAAAAAATATTTTTTAAATGACATAGATTTAGGCAATCATGGCTCTCTACAGATTCCTTTTCTTTATTACCTGTGATTTTTTTGGTAGAAATACTCAAGTTGTTTCACAGAGCCTTCTGCAGGGTTTCAAAGTTTTCCTTCTCTTCCGGTTGGCACACAAGACTACAGAGCTCCTTCTAACTATTTAACACAAAGCTGGTATGGTGAAAATAAAGAGATGGATTCATGCCATTCCTAAGGGCGTTAGTGCAAAAGCGAATAGAACAGACTAACCTGAAATTTAAACCCAGCTCACAAATTCCCCTTCTTATGTTGATAACCATTATACTACAGGTACCAGAAAAAAAATTAATACCTATTTTATTAAAAATTAAGCTTTTTTACAAACTTGACATTGTACAATTTTGATATTTGTTATCATTGAGTTTTAACTAAAAAGAAAATAATTCGGGTTGAATAAAGTGAGGGGGGAAAAAAAGGGAGAAGCCATTATTTTATTTTTATCTATGTGGTTTTTAAATAGCTCAGTAATCGTGTATTTTAGAAACCCTTAGAATTTTATTTCCTTAATTCTATAATGGTTGCATTGTAGGTGCCCCTCTATAGTAATCAAATCATTACTTGACTGGGTTCCCCACACTTGTAGCCTTACATCAGACTAAGCTAAGCTTAATACCTAGTTTCTCAGGGTGTAGTAATGGTTAAAGAGATAGTATGATAAACCATTTCTACTGTATGAGCCTCACTGGGTGCCACAGAATGATGACCTTGTACTAGACAAAGACAATCTTTATTAGTACTTTAGCCATGAGCTTGTCTAACATATCATTACTACTAAGAGTAAGTATGGTAGTTATTGGATGCTCTACGACTGTGATCTTGTGCCACACTATATATTAGCTGCATAAGAACGTTCTGTGATGCAGTTTACAAAATTAAAACAGATACAACACTTTGTTCTTAATGAGTATTTTAGACAGAGAAACTATTTTTTAAGAATAAAGATTTTAAATGATCCTTTGTCAGGAATAATAAAATTTATGCAAAAAAGCATTTAAAATAAAAGTATAATTGTATTTTTTTAATCAATTGCTGATTTCAAAATTAAGGACTGGTGTCTTTCAATTTAAAAAAAAAAAAATAGAAAATTAAAACAATTTTTGTGGATAATTTATTAAATTCTTAGAATAAAAAGGAATTTCATATAAATAAAAGCATTATAAACGAATAATACATGCTTATTATTTTATTTATGGGTCATATACAGTGAAAAAAAGATATTGTCACTGTATAATGACAGGTAAGCAAATAAAAATAGATTTTAAAAATTTTGATATTTTATTAAAATTTAAAAAACGTGTTAAATAGAGGACACCTTGTAGTAGAGTTTTTTTTTTTTTTCTTTAAGATAAATTACTAGGTTCTTTTTGGTTTTTTTTTTTGTTAATCTACATCCAGAAATTGAAATGCTTTATAGGGGAAAATAATTCGGGTTGAATAAAGTGCGGGGAAAAAAAAGGGAGAAGCCATTATTTTATTTTGAATAAAAATATATTTTTTGTTCATTCAACGGCGAAAATAAGGCATTTTTATTAGCTTTTTATTTTATTTTTTAATTTTAAAAAAAAAAATTAAATTTCTTATAAACATTATTATTTTAAATTAAAAAAAAATCAGTATTCATTTTTAAAAGTGATAGAGATTTTGATTTATTCATTTCATTTTTTTTGTTCTTTGTGACATGTTTTTTTTTTTTAATTTACAACGAAAAACAAAATAAAAATAAAACCATTTTTCCACCACCCCCCACCCCCAAAAAAACATCTATTAATTTATTTATTATTTTCTCTACTTTGTTCGACTATTTTAATGGTTAACAAAATAAAGATAAATTATTTTTATTCCGAAAACAAATCCCTTAATGTCAGGTTGATTTTTAACGATCGACATTTTTTACCCTACCTCACATTGCGAAAGCTCATAGCAGCACAAACAGTCGTTTTGAGATTTCAAGAAAGGGTTGTTGTTTCTTTTTTTTAATTTTTAAATAATTAAATTAAAATTAATGTATATCGTGAAAATTAAAGTAAGATTGTTTTGTTTTTGGGAGGCTAGAAAGAAATTTTATGATCTTTTAAAATGTTTATTCAACCCCCGCCAAGGTGGTCACGTTATCGCGCCAAACCAAATATAGATTTTTTTTTTATTATTGCTCTTGATGCTTATAGATTTGAATATAAGTAAAGCTTTCTTAGGGGAAATTCTAGGATTCTTTTCACATCATCCTCAGATTTAGCCCTCCGACCTCCCGAACGAAAAAGGAAAGGAAAAAGAAGATTTAAATCGAATTTTGTAATTAAGAATATAATGATAAACGTTCATTACACTAACCCTACCTTTTATCAAGAGTAATAATATAAAAGCGAAAAGTGTGTATTATTAATAAACACCTATTTTAAATTAATTGATAAAGGGGGAAGAAGAAACCGATTGGAAATTGATTGACCTTAGGATCTCTCATGTAGATTTCAGTCGGTGAGGGAGGGGAAAAGAGAATTATATATATATATATATATATATATATATATATATGCACATATATATATATATATAGATGTATATGTATGTATATGGTTCCTGTGTTCTCACAGCTACGAGGAAAACAACTGCTTTAGTAGTGATGATTTACCTTCGATATTCAGCGATTCTGTTTTTGTATTCTTCCTCCGTCTCGGAGTCGCGTCTCTTCAGCTCCTCCATTAGCATCTCAGTCTTGTTTCGTAGAGAGATTTACCAACCCCCCCTCCCTCAAACACTCTATATCTATCTTCCTCACTTTTCTCACACCCTCTCAGTTGGTTTAGTCTTTCTTCTTTAACTGACAAGTTACGATGGGTCCACTTGGAAAATGAGGATATTTTTTTTTACGGGGGTCGGATGGGCCACCCTAGGTAAATTAAAAAGTCAGGTAGACTTATCAGCTGATCAATACGGATTGATGAACGAAGGTGAATCGTCGATGCTGTAAGAAGGAGGTTGATAGAAGCATTGGCACCACAACTTAACAGGAAGTGGCAGCCATAGAGGCTTGATACACACTTCCGGTACAACCACATGGCAGCACTGTTTACTAAAACGAAAAAGCATTTACTTACACTGGCCACCGGCCACTCTCTAAAGACAACATTTTCATGATTTCAAATTCAGTTCTCCACAATTTTAATAATTATTCATTTATTAATTATTTTAATAATAATTAACTTTTAAAAATTTAATAATAAATTTATTAATAATCAATGCTTCAATTTTTATCTTTTGATTTTTTATCTTTATTTTTTGTGATAATTCACTAATAATCTATTATCTTATTTTTTTTAATCTTCTAATTTAAATAAATAATAAAGTTTTACATTTTTAAATTAAAATTACTTATCTTGGTTTAATTTAATAAATTTAATCCGCATTTAGTTTTCTTAAATCAGTAATAGTCAAATAGGGACCACGTTAAATCGCTGCAAGTCCCCCTTAGGGAGGCTGTATTATTTTGGCTAACTAGGATAAACCCGTGGGTTCAGGTCAGGTGCCCCTAAAAAAGTGTTCGTTATATTTTTGACAATTCTGTTGCGATAAACAAGAAGAGTAAATCGGCAAGAAATCATCTTTACTTTTGAACTGAAACGTTCAAAGCGGGATGGAAACACATTTTTAAAATTTAAATGTTAATTTAAGGCGCATATAATTCAATTGGGATTCTTTTTTCTTATTACCAGTTTTTAAATTCAAATACCAAGTTTGAAAAAGAACAGGCATTGGGTCAATTTAGCTTGGCTCCCAATATTGTTTAGATCGCAACCATGAGACATTTTTTTGTATTATTACTCGAGATGTCAAAACGTCTTTAGGGAAAGAAAAGAAGTCTATGGAACAGGAGTAAATAAATTAAATTTGTTCATAGTAGGTAAAAAAAAAAAATAATTTCTTGAAAATAATTTTTAAAAATGCATGAAGCTTCTGAAAAAAAAAAAGTTGGAGAAAGAAAAATAATGTAATAAATTTTTACGGAATTGAAAACTTTTCGAAGCATGAACTTCGAGTGAAAGCTTTTTCGTTTTGGTCGAAAGACTTTCAGTCGAGTCGCTAAAAATTTATTTTTTGTGCGTGGACTAATTGATCCCCCCCACCTCTAGTGAGGAAAATAAAAGATTCGTTTGTTTAGAGGTTTGTTTTTTTTTTTTTTGTTTGTTTGTTTGTTTGTTTTTGTTTTTCTAAGATTTGATACCTATGTGAAAAATGTTCCATGCAAAAATTAATTTGTCTTTCTTGCTAGGTGTGTGTGCAAAAGTTTCTAGCACCCATTGAAAAAAACAAGAAAAAATGAATTTTTACTTGAGTAAACTGTAAACAGGTTGTTTCTTTCTTTTTCTTTTTTTTCTGGATAAAAAAAAACAAAAAAAAACTACAGATACAAAAAAAAAAACTGAAATACGGATGAAGTCTAATAAAAAAATTCTTATATTAATAATAAAATATATATTTGAAAAAATCATAAAATATACGTCGAAATCTAATAAAAAAATTCAAAACACACCAAAAATAGTAATAATAAATAAATTAATTAAATTTTAAAAAACACAAAAACACATACACTAAATAAATTAATTAATTAAAAGCACATACACTAAATTAAGTTAATTAAATGTACATATACTAAATTAGTTAAATTAATTAAAAGTACATACATAAAAAATAAATTATACACTAAATAAATTAATTAAATAATTATTTAAATTCATTAAATTAAAAAAAACATACTCTCTAAAAATTTAATTTGAATCTTTCTTCTCAATTTATTTACAATGAAGAAATTGTGACGACTTTTAGTTTTCTGTGAATAATTAATTATTACACCGAAAATCAGGACACAAACAAAAAATGAAAGTAAATATTTATTTATTTTATTTTTATTTTTTATTAATTTTTTTTTTTTAGTGGGATGTCCTGATTTATTTTTTTTTAAAGTTAACCACACCACGTGACCAAATCAAATTATTCCTGATAGTTTTTTTCGTTTGTTGTGTTTGCTTTTTGTTGTTTTGTTTTTTTTTTAAATGCCCACCTTATTTATTTTCTGTGTTTGTCATTTAATAATCGAGAATTTTTATCTACTACGCAGGAACTACAGAAAAAATACACTTTAACCCTTAACTTTGGAGAAAGTTTAGGAAAACCAGATTGCGAATGTCACGAAGACAGAAACACGTGGCGTGTTTTTTTTTAGTTTTTTTTTAAGCGCGATCTTTATTGTAAAAAATTACGTAGGGAGAAAACAGTTATAAAAGTGATATGCCAGACATATTTTTTAAAATTAAATAAAACACTAAAGTACACTTTTGTGTTTTGATAAAAAAAAAACGGCTGATCAGTTGGAAAATGTAACGAATAATTTTATTGATTATTTAATATTATTATTGAATATTTTGTTTCGAAAAGTAAGTAAAATAAACCTATCACCGATTGTTATAAGATCTTATTTCTAAAACATGTCTAATTCGTCTATTAATTTAGACCTTTTCTATCAGTAATACTTGCATTTATTCCTGACCACTGACAATCCCTTTCTTCCTGATTTTCATTGTTTTCAATAGTAAAATTATTAGCCATGCATTATTGCAATATTACGTATGCTATCAGTAATGCTTGTAAAAATGAATTTCTGACCAGTGACAATCCCTTTCTTCCTGGTTTTCAATGCTTTTTATAAAGAATGATTAGCAATGCTTTTATGTACAGACTTATTAAATCAGTAATGCTTGTATTAATTCCTGGCCACTGACAATCCTTTTTTTTTTTTTTTTTCCTGATTTTCATTGTATTTCAGTAAAATCGTTAGCAATGCATTTTTAAAACAATGGGTGTAAATAATATCGTCGTGTCGAAGTGAGTCACCACATAATAAGGTTAATAATATCATGTCATGTTGGGTTGATAACGGTGTGTGCTCGGGAAGAAATTCTCCCAGTTTCTATTTCCACCATTATGAGTAATATTATATCCATGATATAATAACACCTAATTTCACGGACGGAATGGAATGGCTGGAAGGAAAAAGGATGACAAATATGCCTGGTTCTCAAAGAGTTTTATACCCCTAAGTCTTACACAAAATTACATATACATATTTACATTTCTCCGACGCAGAGAAAATATAACACACATATGCAACAACAAGCAGTGTGAAAAGATTCTTACGTGTAATGATACCCTGGAGTTGCCGGAGATTCTTCTGTGTTTCTGGGAATCCATATATAGGATTCCGCAAACAATAAAACGGTGAGTCCTGGATTTTTCCAAAATTGAGGACTGCGAGCCGGAGATATTTTCTATACCTGGTGAAGATATATTTATATTGGCGTAATGAAAATGGCGTGGCAGCTGGTCGGGGGAAACAGCGTGCAAAAAAGCAACTGCTCGGTTTGACACCTGGAAGCTAACTGACTGACCACTTTTGTCCCACTCTGGAGTAACGTCATTAAGTAGCGATCACGTGACTTCATCGCAATCAAAGGAAGAGATTGTAGTGGTCGGGCAAGCATCCTCTCGGGAGTCTGCTCCCGAAAGCAGCGGATCTTGAGAAGAAGGTGGCCGGATAAAACCTCCTTCTTACCAATGGAATACGAAGGGAATGAGGATGGTTCACCGCTGTGTACATGGCATGGCGGTTGCCAGCTGTAAAGGTTCGAAATGGGGGAAGTAAGGAATGTACCTCATCAGAACATTTGCCACGGAAATAGCGATAGTCTTGCGACGTTGTTTGTGTGGGTAAGGTGTTGGAGGATGGAAAATAATTCACCACCCACAAGGCTGTGAAAATGCTTTTGAACTGTCAAGGCTAGGAAGTGAGAATTATACAACCTCAGCTACGAAAGCCTTGCAGGTGGAGTCAGGTACTTTCTATCATGTAGAAACAGTCTCGGCTCGATGTTGGGGGATTTTTAATACATTTCCTTGTTGTCTCACTGAGTTTAGTTTGGTTTGATTTGGTTTGTTTTGTTTTACGGCATATCAACCTCAATGGGTTATTTAATGCCGACAAAATTTTTGCTACTGGTATTTTTTCAAAAATGTATAGCTGCTAATATCTTGCTGGTAATAAAATGTATTGCTGGTAATAAAATGTATTGTTGGTAATAATATTTTTTCTTCAAATAATTCATTGCTGATAATATTTTTTTCTTTTTAGGCATTTTGGATATTTAAGAAAAGGAAGTTGAGGCATTTTTAAATTTGGATTTTTGGAGGCATTTTTATATTTAAGAAAAGAATTAGTTGGAGGCATTTTTAAATTAAAAAAAAGAGTTGTTGGAGGCATTTTTATATTTAAGAAAAAGATTTGTTGGAGGCATTTTTATATTTAAGAAAGGAATTAGTTGGAGGCATTTTTAAATTAAAAAAAAGAGTTGTTGGAGGCATTTTTATATTTAAGAAAAAGATTTGTTGGAGGCATTTTTATTTTTAAGAAAAGAATTAGTTGGAGGCATTTTTAAATTAAAAAAAGAGTTGTTGGAGGCATTTTTATATTTAAGAAAAAGAATAGTTGGAGGAATTTTTAAATTTAAGAAAAAGTGTTGTTAGAGGCATTTTTATATTTAAAAAAACGGATAGTTGGAGACATTTTTAAATTTAAGAAAAAGATTTGTTCAAGGCATTTTATATTTAAGAAAAAAGTTGATCTCTGGATATCCACCTACAAAAAAGCTAAAAAAAAA